GAGCAGTGTGAGAACAGGGAGAGAGCAGAGTGAGAGCAGAGAGTGAGAAGACTGAGAGCAGAGTGCGAACAGAGAGAGCAGAGTGAAAGCAGAGAGTGAGCAGACTTAGAGCAGAGTGCGAACAGAGAGAGCAGAGTGAGAGTAGAGTGTCAAAGCTAAAAATGTCAAAAGGCTAGCTAAATCTAAAGCGTAGAATTGCAAACATTTAAATAACTAGCTGAAAGCTGAAAGTAGTGAAATGCAAACTGAATGGTATAAAACTCTAGCTAAAATATAAAGGTATTGAATCTGACAATGATCCTTTTTCTTATTTTTAACTCATCTAATTCTGGCTTGTTTTTGTTTGTCCAGTAAAGATTTAGTTTTTGTATTTGCTTGGAAGGAAGAGAAAAGCGGAAGTTTGAAGAAAAACTGCATAAGAAATGAGCAGAAATAAGCTTAAATAAGCAGCAAGAGGCTAAATAGATTACAAAAAATCTTAAATTAGCAAAAGAAGAAAACTGAAATTATATAAAAAAAAAGCTGATATTAGCAAAAACAAAACTGAAATCAGCAAAAAAAGTTACTGAAAAAGCTAAAAAACAAATACTGAAATTAGCCAAAAGGGGGCTGAAAGAGCATAAAAAGTTGAAATTTGCTAATCGTTGGCAGAATTGTTTTGAATGTAGTTGAAAATTAGCAGAAAGCAGCTGAAAAAAGCTTAAATGAGCAGTAAAAGGCGAACATGAAGAGAGCTCCATTCATTTTCAATGAGAAAAGCATGGCCGACAAATCTGAATATGCACTTCAAAAAGTAAAACTTGCTCAAACACCAAAAGCCACAGCAGGAACGTCCAGAATGAGCCGAACGTTTTGAGACATGAGCTGTTGAAACAGAACAATGTAGAGTAACATGCTGAAATAAACGTATCTCAGTGGAGATTTAGAAACATTCAGACGATCCTGATGCTCAGTGATCCAGGTAGAAAACTCTAACCAAGTTAAGTCGGGTCCTCTGGACTCAGGCCAGGACTCTGTGTGGTCTACACACAGGTCAGAGGTCACTCTTTCAGGGATGAAGATGTTCACATCCTGGATAGAGAGGAACGATGGTTTGAGAGAGGAGTGAAGGAGGCCATCTTTGTGAAGAGAACCTGTCCATCATTAAACAGGGGCGGAGCCTCCGTGTCCAACTGTCCCCCTCCTACAATGCTGTTATTGCTAGTATCACTCAGCCCCCTGTGAATAGCAAGCGGTCACCATGGCACTAACGATCGGTCGTTAGGCTGATGGTCCTCCTTTATCATGTGAACAGCTGGTTCTGGATGTCAACAACAAACTGGTTGATCCACTATGAGAAGAGGCTATCTATAACACTGAGTTTGTTGCAGCTCCTCAGACTGAAGAAGTCCTTTGGATAAAGATGAAACATTAACAATTTTCTTTATAATCTGTCCAGAGGACCTGACTCTACTCAGTTGGATTCAGATGATAACTGCTGACACGTTGCAACTTCCTACTGGACTTTCCAGACACACAAAGAACCAGCGCTGTTTTAAACGTTATCAGTACTTAGAGGCCGATCTTCATGCATCCTCCTGCAGTTGAGTCATGACTGCTGCTCCCGTTTGTTTGTCTTTTTCCAGCAGGTTTATCTTTATCTGTGACTCATCCGAGCCTCGAGCCTCATCTGTTACTCCTTTGTCACCGTTTCCTCGCTCAGACCAGGAGGTAAGGAGTTGTTGCACCCACAGCGAGGAGTTTACATAACTCCGATGCCAGAGGAGATACCCGGGCCGGTCCCTGGGCGCGCTGCCGGTCCCACGCAGAACCGCCAGGAACTAATCAGGTGACGTGATCAGGGCCTTCAGTCAGAACGTGGAGCAGATTTTATCGCAGCGATTTGTGTGAGGGTTGTGTTTAAAACGTAGTCATAAATTTGCGTTACGGATATTTTAAAACATTTAAAACAGCTAAAATTAGATTGAGCTGTGACAAATTTGACTTAAAGGAAACTAGAGAAATTGCATTTTCTGTGAAAAGGCAGTGAGTGCTTATTGTTGAAGAACTTGCTGAAGAACAGCTGACATTAGCTAAAAAAATAAAAATGCTGAAACAAGCCTAAATTAGGAAAAGCAGAAAGAACACATAATTGCTGAATTAGGCTGAAAGAAGCATCAGAGCACCGAAAAGTGGAAATTATCTGAAAAAAAACAACAACAACAAAAACGCATCATCAAATTAGGGGAAAAAAACAGCTGAAAAGCAGCTAAAAAGCAAAGAGAAGCTTGGATTTACCAGAAGTGGAGAGAGCACGTTTGCTGAATTAGTCTGAAAAAAGTTGAGCGCAAAAAACGTGGAATTAGCTAAAAAAAAAAAAAAAGCTAAAATTAGCACAAACAGCAACATAGCACCTGAAATAACTGAAATTAGCAGAAATAAGCTGAAAGGAGCATTACAAACTGAAATTAGCAGTAAAACAATGTTTAGGCTGAAAGAAGCAGGTATCACCATGAAATATTTGAATTGATCTGAAAACAGTTGAAATTAGCTAAAGAAATTCTTAAAGGTAGCACAAGCTTAAATTAGCAGAAAAAAGCAGAAAGAACGTGTTTGCCCAGTTAGGCTGAAATAAGCAGAAATGAGCACAAAAAAATGGAAATGATCAAAAACAATCAGCTGAAAAGAAGCTAAATTAGCAGAAAGAAGCTTAAATTAAAAAAAAAGTAGTGAAGAGAGCACATTTTGCTAAATGAGGCTGACGAAGGTTTAAATTTGTGCCAAAAATATGGAATTAGCTAAAAATGCTAACATTAGCATAAAACAGCTAAATAGTAGCTAAAATGAGCAGAAAAAGCTGAAAGGAGCAGAAAGAAGTTAGAAGAAGCACAAAGAATCCAAAAAGAGCACAAAACAGCTGAAACTATGCTTAAATTTGCAGAAAGAAGCTGAAGCAGAACAAAATGTGATCAGTAAAATGTAAACAGATCTAAAGATCTGAAGGATGGAAAAAGAGCTCAATTCATTTCCTGTGAGAAAAAAATGTCAGAAAAGGCTAAATATTTCAAAAAGCTAAAGTTGCACCAAAACCAAAAGTCACAGCAGGATTGTTCTGAAAGAGCCGAACGTTTTGATTCATGATTTGTTGAAATAGAACAAACATTGTGGAACGAGAACGATGCTGAAAAATGTACAGAAGAAAAATGGATTGAGCATAAACTTTGATGTCTTGAACCACTTTGGCTGCTGGGAGGAGTCCCCGGGGGAGGACGGTCTCCAGAAACCATGTTACAACCAGCAAACAGGGGTGTGCTGCTTAGTGGGGAAAACAGTTTGTTTGTGACTCCTCAGGCTGATGAAGCCCTTCGGATGGAGGGCGAAACGTCTCGACAACAAAAAATCCTGTCCAGATGACCCGACTGAACATTGATGGAAAAATGGATGACAGAGTGAATGGTTCATAAACGTTCTCACAACTCAATTTCCTTCAACTTTCAAGTTGTTCTAAGAATGTTCTTTGTTTTAAATTCATAAACATCAGGTTTGTTCACTTTCAGAAGTAAACAAAGCTAAATCCATCTTCTTTTTCTCTTTCGTTTGTTTCTCATCTCATCCTGA